CTGAGGCTACTTGAAGCAATGCTCAAGGTCATACAGTTAATCCAGGGTATAAAGCAGCATAAAATGAATCAAAACTCAAGTATTATTAAGTACCAGTCCAGCACCCTTTTTTTAGTCTTTTTATTTTAGAGTAATTTTAGAATTACAGAAAAATTATGAAGCTAGTACAGAGCTCCCATATACTCCACACCCAGTTTCCCCTTTTACTGACATCTTAACATTAGTATGGTATATTTGTTTACACGAATGAAGAAATACCAATACATTATTGGTAACTAAAGTCCACACTTATTCTTATTTCCTTAGTTTTTGCCTAATGTATTTTTTATGTTCTGTGAGCCCATACAGAATACCAGATTACATTTATTTAGTTATGTCTCCTTAATTTCTTCTTGGCTATGCTAATTTCTAAGATTTTTTCCTTCTTTTCGATGATCTCTACAATTTTGAGTACTGGTCAGGCATTTTGTAGAATGTCTCTCGACTGGGATGTATCTAATTTTTTTCTCACAATTAGACTATAGGAATTATAGTTTTTTTGGAGGAAGATCACAGACTATTTAAGAGTAAGTACTATCAACATAATTGATCACTGCTGATGTTGACCTCAATCAACTGGCTAAAGTAGTATTTGCCATGCTTCTCCACAGTACATCTGTTCTCCCCACCCTCCTTTTCATACTGTACTCATTGGAAGGAAGTCACTATGCATAGCCTTCAAGAATGGGAGTTATACTGCCTCCTTGGGAATAAAGTACCGACAGTAATTATTTGGAATTCTTCTGCACGGGAGATTTACCTTTCTCTCCCCATTTATTTATTCAATCGTTTACATTTATGAATATGGATTAATGAATATTTATTTTATACTTTGGGTTATAATCCAATACTACCTAATTTATTAGGTTGCTCAAATCACCCTAGCTCAGACCTCTGGGAGCTCTTCTCAGTTGGCTCCTGTGGCCCTTTATTCCCTATTATTGTGCATTTAAAAAAACAAAAACACTTCCTTACTTTCTGTCTCTGTAAGATGCCCCAGGCTCATCCTGGGTTATCTCCTACCCCTGTCTTAGTATCAACCATTTCTCCAAGGAGTCATGGTTCATTTTACTGGAGAATAGAGAAAAAAATCTGGGTACTAGGTGTGCTTGTTGCTATGGGGATATCATTGCTTCTAGCCTCTTCCAGCTAACAAACAAGGAAATGTATATATACTAACCTATGCATATCTATTTACCTATAAATATTTCTATATGTAACCAGCTCTATCTATATTAAGCTACAGAGACAAGTTCACACTGATACCTCCAACTCTAAACCATTACCACATGGATCATTCCAGCCTCCCCCCCTTGCTTGTCTCCAACCTCTTAGACCAAAAGTGAGAAACTTGGCACCCCCCAACCACCATCCCTTTACTTAGTTGCTCAATTCTAGGGTACATGTTCAATGGTTTCTGAATTGTTAACCGGTGTGGAAACACTTTATCAGCTACAGTATAATACTTACATACTGTTCTTTTCCTTTATTTTTAGAATTTACATTTCCAAAGTGACTGAGATCAGTACTTTTTCATATTTTTCAGTGAGGTTATTCTGTACATTTGTATTGAGTTACATTATTTGATCATAGTTTCCTTTCCATCCTGGGATCACATGACATCTTAACTAATTAATTTGCATATATTCAGGTTCAATCTTTGTCCTGTAAAGTCATTTTGACAAATGTGTATTGTCATGTATCTACCATTACAGTATTACATGGAACAGTTTCTGACTCCAAAAATTTCCCTGGGTTTCACCTATTCAACCTGACCTGATCTTCAATTTATGGCAACCACTAATCTTTTTATAATCTTTATAGTTCTGCCTTTTCTAGAATGCAATACAAATGGAATCATACAATATGTAGCCTTTTTAGACCAGTTTCTTTCACTTAGTGATGTATTTTTAAGATTCATCCATGTCTTCATGTGTGCTGATTGCTAATTTCTTTTTCTTCTTTTTCTGTTGAATAGTATTCCAATTTTATGGCTATACCACTGTTTATTTATTCATTCACCTATTGAAATAAAATTTGGTTGCTACAGCTTTTCATGATAATGAATAAAGTTGCTGTGAACATGTATGTGCAAGTTTTGGTATAGACATATGTTTTCAAATCAGTTGGATATCTAGGGGTGAATCAGTGGGTTTGCATGTTTAGCTTTGTAAGACTTATGTTTAGCTTTGTAAGAAACTGCCAGATGTCCTAAGTTACTGTAGCCATTCTGCATATCCATGAGTAATGAATTAGAATCCCTGTTGCTCTGTATCCATGTCAACATTTTGCTATTGTCAGTTTTTCAATTTTATTTTAGACGTAACAATAGGTGTGTAATGGTACCTTATTATTTTAATTTGCATTTAATAACAAATGATGTTGAGCACCTTTTCATATGCTTATATGATACCTACATGTCTCTGCTGCAGTGTCCATTCTAATCTTTTGCCAGTGTTTAAATTGGGTTGATTTCTTATTGTTGAGTATTGAGAGTTTTTCATACATTTTAGACAGAAGTCTTTTATCTAACGTTTCTGTGGCTTCTCTTCACTACTCTTGACTAATTACTAAGGCCACTTTACAAAGTTTTTAATGGATGTTTTTGGTGGTGTATCTAAAAATTCATCACCAGACTCAATACCACACATATCTCTTCTTCTGTTTTCTTCTAAAAGTTTTGTAGTTTTCATTGTACAGGTAGATCTTTGATCAGTTTTGAGTTAATTTCTGTGAAAGCTGAGCTAGTGTTTTTTCTCATAAGCTTTTCCTTAAAAGACTGCTTCAGAGAGGCATATTTGTTGGAGTTCCGGCATAAAAAACAGTAAGCCAAAAGCACCTCATGACTTTTGAAGATAGTATTCATAAATATCAATAATAGAGGTGTAATGTCCAGATCTGAAGAAGAAATCCTTCCCTTAGTAATCTGCCACAGCTAGATTGCTTCTATGGTTTTGTATGCTCTGGGGGGCATTTGATTTAATAGTGACATTGGTAAGCTATACTTCATCTAGAGAGTTATTGGCATGATAAAGAGTTTGGGTACAATTGCTATAGCTGTTTTCATGATATGTCTATTCCCCTCACTCTTTCATGCCTAGACATTGAGCAACCTGTGGGCTGGAATTGTATATTGTCGACATCTATGCCCAGGGCATAGCACTTTGTATGTGTTAAATAAATATTTAATTAGTGAGTTCAGTGAAGAAGTTGGGGATGTAGAAATAAAGTATAGAAAATAAGAATTTCTTAGACAATATATCCCTTTGAATAGCCAACATCTCTTGGGAAGAGGCATGATAATTATCATCAAATATTTGAAGGGCTATCATGGGAAGAGGGGTTAGAACCAAGGTGGAATTCACAGAGGTACAGAATTTCAACTTACTGAACTAAGAGGAGGCTGCCTTATGGTGAGTGTGCAATTGCTGAAAACATTAAAAGAACCTGAATGAATATGAGGGATATCAGGGGAGGGACTTTCTCCATTAGAAGGGCAGTGAATGAGCCACTTTCTGTATCTTTCAACTCTGAAATTTTATGGGGCTAACAGATCTAGTTTGGGTCAAATCAAGAACTTTAAAAGTCCTAAGAAAAGGAATAATTATGGTGTCCCATTCCATTTGTAATTCAAAATAAAAACTATATTATAAAATATGTGTTAGGGATTTTAATGAAGTTCACGTGTTTCTATGACTATTTGTCTTTCTTTTCAAAATAGAAAATATAAACACTTCCCCTTAATTTTCCTTTTCTCTCTCCTGTGCTGCTGCTTTGCAGGCCCCTACACGTATTACTTTGCTTATCATCTAGTACTGATTTTCTGATTCTAGGTATAAAACAAGCAGTATGCCAAGACTTTTTGGGAATCATTTGTAAAATAAAGCACAGTTCAAAAGAAACCCCATGCAAAAACTGGAAAGTCCATGGTCTTTTCATTTAAATTGTCCACTTGTAATAACCATAGGAGCAATAAATCAGAGGACTATTTAGTCCATAGTGTCAAGTGCAATTACACATTTAAAAAATAAGAGCCATCTACAACTGATGTGCAAAGTTTACCAGTACTCAAACTGCTAACTTTCATAATAATGGCAGTCTAAAGATGTGACACTACTCAAGCACAGTCTTAGCTAAAGAGGAGATGACTTATATTGTCTAGCTTTAATTTTAAGTTTATTTTCATTGTGCTCAAATTTTTGAAAATTGATAAGTATGCCAAGAGATATGATTAAACAGAACATCTTAGGCCTTGGTCATGTAAGTGATAATGGGATTTAAGCTAAAAACTAATTTGTTAGGATTGTCAACTTAAAAATGCTGGACTGATATGATTATATTTATTATGTCAATGCTTTCATTGTAGCTAAGTAAGTTTCATAATTTCCTCTCATAGTATCTTAATCTTTGAACAAATTTCCAGGCTACAGATTATTTCTCAAGAATTCTGTGGTAAGCCAAATGTTAAAATAAGTGAATACTGATTTATAACACTTCCGTATTTAGAAAACCAGTTCTTTGATTTAACTGGTTCATTTTTTTTCTCATTAAACTTTTGTTTTAATGGGTTAACTGGTTCATTTTTATTGTTACTTTAACTCCTATAAGAAACCTGTTACAACTCTGATAGAAAGGGAAGGGAGTAGAAACATTTTTCTATAAATAGTATGAGGCATTTTCTACCCTGTCCTAGAGTGCTGTTACTACCCTCTGCAACTGAGCTGACATGTTCTTCTGATGAACTGACCTCCACAATAGTTTCCAAGTTACAACAGAAAAAGTACATTGAAATCACCTTGCCAAGCCTTGTTATGAGGGGTAGCACTTGCTTAAGGAAAATAAACTGCTCCTTGAGGGAATGACATGGGTTTAAAATTTGAAATAAACCCAGGGTGAGCCATAATGATCCTTCAAAAAATGAATTCCATATAATTTTAAAAAGCAAGTAAGAAAATACTTACGGGAACATCAACATATTTTGCAGCTGCTTTCACCTTCAGTAGAAAAGAGACAATTAGGAGAATTATTTTTTTAGCTGTTCGATAAATACCATGACAACAGTCAAATGGCAGTGGAAGAGAACTCAATTCAAATACTTACAGTGAATGACAGAATGGATGAAAAGAAAGTGCCTTCATCATATCTTGACAGCTTAGATAACACCCCTTCCAACACTGAAACAAACTGTAATGCAGTTTCTCATGAGTATTTAGAACATTGGCTAACAGGGCAAACAATTCATGGACCCGCTTCTTCCAGGGCACAGAAACCCACCACAGATAAACTGACAGCTGAGGGGCAGACTTTCGAAGTTTACTCTTTCATTTTGAAGATGAACTCTAAGAGCCATTTCCATTGCTGGAAATAATACACAAAACTTGTTTTTTTTAAGATAAAAGAGTAATGTGCAGCAGGAGTCTGGTCATTGTACATGTGAGATAATTAAAACCATTAGTAAGTAACTTTAAATTCCTGAGACTATTCCTTAAAACATTTTCCAACTTCAATATAGATGTTTAGGGGCAATGACGGTCAAGTTTAATCAAATTCCTTTCTGTCACACATCACTTGACCGATCCCCACATTTTTCTACCTACAGAAGAGGCTGAATAAAACAATCCTGTAAGGAAAGGGAGGTGTAACACCTGAGGGTCCTGCAATACCGAAATCAAGTCGGATGTGCTCTAACCTGCGTTTACCCAGCGGTTCTAAGGAGGCCACAGAAGGGTCCTCCCAGCTCTCAGAAGTAGTTGGAGCGCTACGAGAGGTGAACACGCTGCCGGGTACAATGGAAAGAGCACTAACTAGATTGCAGTGACAGCCCTGATTCAGATGCTCAGGCCCAACCACTGCACCAATCGGTTTGGGCCATGTGTGCTGGGAGAGGGAGGGAATATGGAATTAAATTTGTCTTGAAAGTGTTTAACACTTCTAAAATTTTATTTCCTATGAGATTAAAGTTAAGATGTATATACTAGAATATAATAAAAAATGTGGAGAGTTACAGTTCATTGGGTGGAAACACTAAGATCTGGCATGAAGACAAGTAAGAGATATTACTAAGCATCTACTGCCCTGTATTTTTCCTCTTTAGAACTAAAATAATATGCACTATTGACAAATTATACACTCCCGAAGGGAAAATACTGACAAGGTTTTTTAAATACGAAAAGGGAAATTAACGAAGGCTCGTTTTTGTTCACATAGCTGCTTCTTCAACAAAGGGATAATAGTTCTAGGGACGCAGCTTATTGGTCTCTGGTGGCCAGAGAACTCACTAAGAGTGCACAGGAGATAATCTTTTCTCTATGGCTGGTCAATTACTGCAAAATAGTTTATGCAAAAGAAACAAAAACTTCCCTATAGGTTTCTCCATCACATCATTTGTGACATGATGTAAGAATACAGAAACCAAATCATGCAAACTGCTGACTAATTTTATTTCTAAAGAATGAAAATTACATAGGGCTGGCTAGTTATCCTAAGGGATACAAACAGCAAAAAACACAAAATTACCAATTGCTCACAACTAAGAGTCAATTTAGCATTTTCTTCCTGCCCATTAGGATTTCTTACCAATCACAGCTGGCTAACTCAACATGATGTGGTTTGCAAAGACTCAGAGGACCAATACTCCAGGGCCATGTCAGGCCAGGGGAAGGGAATTCCACACTTAATGGCCCTCTATGGAAAATGCCTCGTCTCTTGTAACTCAAATCTTGAGAGCCAGTGTGTGCTCAGTGATCTCATTTGCTGCAAGGAGCATGACAATTGCTATGGTTACCAGACAACCTGGACCATTGAAGTCTCTGGCACGGCACCTGGCTCCTGGTGCCCTCAAGTGAGTATATGTAAGCACATGAGTGATACTGAGGGACCAGGCAAGGTGGAGACAAGGACCTTGTGTATGGATCTAGAAGACCTGAGTTCAAGTTATAGCCCTGCCACCACCTGGCTCTAAGGCACCATTTAGCTTCTCTGGCTTCAGTGTACTCGTCAGTAAAACAGCGAGAATGACACCTGTCCTATCCATCTTACAATTACGGTGTAAAGATCACTGGAGGTGGTTTTTGTGAAAGGACTGTGAAAATGGTAAATACTAAAGAAACATAAAGAATTAAGATTATTGATATGATTAGCTAAGCCACTATCCATTATATAAGTCTAAAAACCTAACCATGCTAAGTCACAGGTAAGAGGCATAGCCTTAGGACTGTTTAGTGACAAGGAGTTATCAGTTATTATAAGGAGTTTGGTTATCAGTGGATGGGTCTCATACAGTTAAATGGTATCTATGGAGGTAGAACAGAGTTGAAGCTGTGATCAGAAAACCTGTGTGGAATCCTATTTGTTTCAAAGTCATCCGGCTGGCAGCAGAGGAAGGTGGCACTGAACACAGGTGGTCTGGCTCCAAAGCCCGTGTTCTTTATCATCATGCTACAGAACTGTAAGCATTAAAGGAGATGATATAGGTCACATGCCCAGTGTATCATAAGAGCTCAAAAAATGTCATTTTGTTTTAATTATTATTGAGCACCTAATATGGGAAATATAAAACAAATGGGTCTTAGATCCTTCCGTCCATGACCATACAGATTAATGGGAGAGAGAAAAGCTGGTCATGACACAAGGCAGATAGGGCTAAGTGCCAGTGTAGACAGCAAACAGAAAGCAACGGGAAGCCTAGGGATAGATGAATGTAGGGCAGAAGTTTCCCTTCTGTGGCAGCTGGCAGCCTGTCTGGCTCACCCGCTCTTTAGGGTATGAAGCAGCACTGGGTTACATCCAAGGATGTCCTATGTGTGGACCTGTAGTCTCCCGCATCCATGTCACAGCATTCTTTGCCTCCATTTTAACAAGAGTGGAGAGCCTCTCCTTGAGCTTTTTCCTACCCCAAATGGTCCCTGGGGAGGCACGACAAAGCAGAGACTCTGTGCTTACATGGCGGTGAGCAGTGCCTGCACCACCAGGGATCAACCAGCCGAGCCATACAGTTCCTCCAGGAAGGCTTTATCCATAAGATTTTGTGGAGGTACATGTAGTAGACGAGCAACCTTAAAAACCAAACTCTATTAACATCAGGACTGACTAATCATGATATATTTTATTTGTATATATTTTCCATCTGGCTTTTAATTGCACGGAACAGCAAGATTCCAAAGAAATCCAGTTCAATGCTGGTTTAGTTGCTGTGCCTTTAACTGCTTCCTGTGAGCTTCTCAGTACAGCTCAGGGAGTATATAAACACTAATGGGTTTGCCGTGTGTTCTGTGCTCTCCTGAGGGTGTGGGGTTGGAATGAAACACTGTAATCTCTTTGTTTCCCTGCTCTTTATTGTGGATGCCATTTACTGAGTTTGTTTGAATAATATTTAACACCTAAAGTCTGTCTGGGTAATTACCAACTTTGCCTCATGTACTCCCAGGAAATTAAAGACGAAAAGCACTTTGGAATGACTAGTACAATGAAACACGAAGTGTGCCACAAGGCATGTTGGCTTAAATTTCCTGTTGAATTTTAACAGGGTCTAAGACTCCTTTTCCTATATGTATATACAAATTCTAAGTGGAGGGAGGACTTCAGCTAGATTGTTAGGTTCAAGACACAGTTTCTGCTTTTTCAGCTGCGACAGTTCATGAAGTAAACAAGGGATGTTTGCATTATTTACAATGCAAGGTATAAACCCTTCCACAGCAAAGATAGTCATCTGTAAATAAAACTGTCATTGAAAAACTAGGTGTTCTTTTGAGGGGGCAGGCCTGTGGGGCTGGAGATGACTACTAGCAGATATTTTATACTTATTTGGTAAGATCAAGACTAGCTAGTACTGTTAAAAATCTACATGGAACCAGAAGTTCATGGAGGGGAAGAAAACAGGTTTCCTTGGAATGCTAGTTAGGATATACAATGCAATTCTCTCTCCCTTTTCTTTCCAACTGTGAAGCTACTTCTTTGAACTTTGTCCCAATGACTCCTAGGAGGTCTTTCCACATTATGCACATCTGTATTAAGGACAGATTGTAATTGACAGATGTATTCATTCATAACATACATGGTTCCCCAAAGTATCTTAGTCAACTTCCTTTAACCCAGACATTGGTGCATTCTCCACACTTCCGTCATTGTCCCTTTTGCCCTTGTCTCCACAAATAGAGTGACCTACTTCATTCTGTATTTCCTCTCTCCCATTGGCTCCTAATAGTGTGTTATTCCTTTTAAGCACGTACTTGGAATTTGAACAGACATTTTCTGAATATATGGCCTTGATCCAAATAAGTAAATTTAATCAATCTCACCAGGCTGAGGTGGTGAGGTATTTTATTTATATCATCTAGGCAGTCAGGTTGGATATTTCTTCTATCTTATTCTTAAGAAAAACTCAGGGGAAAATATTCTAGGTTATCAGAAAGAATATGTATGTGTATATATACTTACACCTATATATCTATCTCTCTACAGGTACTTAATGTGATAGTGTATAGACTTTCTTAATTCCCTTTTTGCATCAGTCCAGGATTTAGGAAGTTGAGTATATTGCTATGAATTAAAAAATTCATACTCAGAATTAGAGTCCCTTACAAGAGTAGATTTTCTTATTCTTTGCCGTGGACCATCTCCCCTGACCAATTCTTTCTCCCAGTTCTCCCAGTTTTTCTTCATTATCTTCATGGTACACTCAAGGAACTCCACTCACATCCACCTGACTTACAGCTGTCCCACCAGACTGCCTGCCCAAGCTGCCCAAGCGTGTGTGCCTGCATGGAACAAATGCCAAAGGAGGGACACCCAGGCTGATCGGCACTACCCAGATGTAGAAGGGACACCAGGAGACTGGGAGGTGATGCTCCCACTGTTCCTCTCTGCTCTTGCTTGGTTCCTTGGGATTCTGTGGGAAGATTATAGGCTTAGGGACCACAAGAGTCAAGTCCTGGCTCTGTGGCTATCTGTCACATGACCCTGGGCCTTTGTTTCCTCATCCACGAACACGGAGACTAGTCTCTCATGATCAGGTGTGCCTTGGGAGATGAGGCCACACAGGTAGGGTGCCAGGCCTCTTCCCCTCCTCAATCAGAGCAGCTTTGCTCTGATAAGTGTCATATTTTAGGGTGCCAAGATGTATTTGAGGACATTAAGTGTATCTTATAAAAGCATATAAAGATACATTATAAACATTATAAAATTGTCTGAAAAGTCCCTGCTAGACGATCTCAGAGTTCCAGCTCTAGCCTGGTGTGTGCTATGGACCCTACAGCCTGGGGAGAAGACGTGGGTCCGCAGAGGCTTCCATACAGAAATGTATATAAAGATCTCTGTTTCTGAATGAGAAAAGGCTGTGGATATTTTTTCATCTAATGCTCCTGCCTTTCTGATGAGGAAACTGTGTTGTCCAAGGAGACCCAACTGATAACATCAAGAAACAGGAACAAAGTCCAGCTTTGGCTATTCCACACTTTGGCCAATTTAATTAATTTTAATAAAAGGTGGCAATAAATGACATATTTGTATCCTTTCCTTGGTGGGAAAATAATGTTCTTGCTATCATTTTTTTTCTCAGTAAAAACTAAGCCCCTTTATTTTTTTTTCCCTTTTAAAGTTGCTTTTCATTTTTCCATAGAGGTTCCAGTTATAGAACATCTGTCTGAGAATAGCAGCCACTGATACAGAATCATTTCCAATGGCTGAAATCTTATCATCACATTGATATTTTGGTCCTGTATTCCTCTTTCAAACTCCAGACCCAAATATCTGAATGGCTCTTTGATGTCTCCTCTTCAGGTATCTCAGAGTAGCTCAATTTCAACATGTCCAATACTGACTTTCTCTCTAAATCTGTTTCTCTTCCAGGGCACACCTACATCAATGAATGGCTTCAACATCCATCTCATGCTTCAAGTCGTAAACCCAGGAGCAATCCTTACCATTTTCCTTTCTCTCCCTATTATGAACCCCTTGTCTTAGTCTGTTCAGGCTGCTATAACCTGTTACACAGAATACTTTAGATTGGGAGGCTTATAAATCATAAACATTTATTTCTCACAGTTCTGGAGGCTGGAAAGGCCACAATCAAGATGTTAGGAGATTTGGTGTCTGTCTGGTGAGAATCACCTCCTGATTCAAAGATGACATCTTTTGGCTGTATTTTCAAATGGCAGAAGGGGCTAGGGAGTTCTGTGGGCGTTTTTTTTTTTTTTTTAAATAAGGGCACTAATCCCATTCATGAGAGCTCCAGATCACCTCCCAAAGTTCCTATCTCCTAACACCAGTACATTAGGGGTTATTAGGTTTCAACACAAGACTTTTGGGAGGACACATTCAGCCTACAGTACCCCATCTATCTTACAATTTAAAATGTGTTGGGATTAGTCTACCAGAGGCAACATAACAGTCTCCTCACTAGCCCCCTTCCAATCTGCCTACTACAGGTAATCAGTGAATCTTCTTAAAACGCAAGCATGATTAATCTCCTCCCCTGCTTTCTGCCTCCCCAGCCCTTCAGAGACTTCCCAGTGCTCCTACGGTGAAGATTTTAAACTCCTCAGGTCTGAAGTTTTAACCATGATTCCACACTGCCTCTCAGTACAGAGTTGTGAATTATCTGTGTATAGTTAAAGCCACAAGTGTGAAAGGCATAGAGATTTGTGGAATGAGTTCAAAAGAGGACTCAAGATGGGAACCCAAGGAAAACCAGCATTTAGCTTCTAGGTGGAGAGAGGATGCAGAGGTGGGATGCCCAGATGTTTTCTAAGCATGTAAAATACATGCGCAGTTGGGACACACACTGTGAGTGTTACTCGTGACCAAGAGCCCTGGCTCACTCAAATTATCTGTGGAGACATGTGGGATACACAGAGGATATGGAGGTGGGATTGAAGAGAGGAGGCAAAAAGAGGAAGTGTTCCTTCTTATTTCTCCAAATGTAGCTAATATATTTATCAATATGCACAGAACAATTAAAATATGGGAAGAAACATTTGGGATACAACAAGAAATTCACCATTCTATCCATCTACTTCATATTGACTTAATATACTATAAAATGTCTAGGCATGACTCTTAGAATTTGATGGAGTAAAGGCAGTTAACATAGAAGATAGATTCAATTTTTACAGTATTTTTGTTTTTCTTTTTTTTACTGATTTCCTGCAGGTCTGGAATGAGCAAGTACACTGGATTAGGAATTTGAAGCTTAGAGTTTGAATCCTAACTCACTAACGGTGTGTATCTCTGGCCAGTTTACTAAACTCTTTTGAGGATTATGTCTTCATCTGTGAAATAAGTGAGATTAACCATTGCAAAGGTGCCTCGTTTGAGCGAAATAACATGCTTCACAGTAGTTCTTCATGAACACCTCGTTTTAAAATATTTTTTCTTTGGTGGAAACAAATGTGAACACAGTATCTTAGAGGTTGTTTTGTCTTTTAATATACCGAAGTTTAGAAAGAGTCTACACGACAGCCTGGCTAGAGATTCCTCAGAGCAGCGTTTCTCAAAGTCTGGCTCTTGAACTCCTACATCAAAATCAGCATGAGACTGGACTGGTTAAACACGCACATTCCTGCCCTTCTTCCCAAACTTCTGATTCAGAATTGTTGGGGATCATTTTAACAAGCTCTCAGGTAAGTTTCTGGCACACTAACATCTAAGAATTGCATTACAGAATCACATTCATCTTTGCTTAATGAAAGAAAAACTGCCACTCACTGTCATCTCCTATGGGAGCTTAAGACAGTTGTCTCCAACTATCAGATTAACTTATTTTATACTTTTCAACCAAAGAATGAAAGATTGTTAATAAGTACTATTTGACTGCATGAGAAATGATGCATAGAGAAAAACTGGAATCTAGATCTGATTTCCAAATATAATATTTGATTACATTAGGCTATTCAAATTAATTCAAATTAAGTAAAATTAAAATTCCAGCTCCTCAGTTGCACCAGCTACATTTCAGGTGCTCCACAGCCATACATGGCTGGCAGGTACTGTATTGGATGGTACTGGAAAAACATTGTTATGTCACAGATGCCTCTACTGGATAGCACTGATCTCTAGAATGGTTTCTTTTTGTGACTCAAATATGCTATGTTTTTGAATTAGCCAGATGCATTTGATATACAAAAATTTAAGTTTCTTACTTTGCCAGAAAAGAGATGATGTGCAGCCATACCAGCCTCCTCTGCAACCTTCCCTTCCCTTCAAAAACTCCAAACTAGTTTGCCTTTTCTCCTTGTTGTCTAGTTAACACTTTCTCAACACACGCTAGCGAGCGAGTCAATGCCTTCCATTATGCACCCTTCTCATAAAAGACAACTTCCACAGGACGGCTGTGATGATAGGGAGGCTCCTCTGGGTACAGTTTCCCGGGATAGCTCCCGGCAGGGAAGGTGCGATATTAGCTTTATTTCGCTGGAGCCGGCTGACTGCGCAGTGCTGCGGCTGCTCCGCTGATGCTGTATGTGAATGTGTAGGTGCTCCTGGGGTGGTGGATGTCCAGGGAACAAAAACAAACCCGTGAGGTAGTGCTGTTATAAAATCATCTTTCTTTGGGGCTATTTTTCACCTCATGACCTGCTACCTGAGGATTTTGAAAAATACAAAAAAATTTGAAGAAAAACCCCCAAATCAACCCTAAACCCACCGCCCAGAGGAAAGCTTTGTCAACATTTTGGTGTTTATCCTGCCTTTTCTCTATGTGATGCAAATTCTGGTCATACTTTACATTTCTAAACATTCAGCTTTTTTTTTTCCATTTAATATTATATTCTGAAACCCTTCCTTTATCCTCAGTAGTGTTTGAAAGCATGATTGCTTTACAGAGGTCCCATACTTTACCATTCCCCTCATGTTAGAGATTAAAGTTGTGCCCAATTTTGCATTAGAGATTATGTGACAATATCAGTGTGTGTGCATGCATGTGTGTGTGTATATAAATAAATAAATATATTTGTGCATCTCTTCTGAGTGGTTAAGAAAAAATGCAAAAAGAATTATTAGGTAAAAGGGTATTAATGTACTTGATAAAGAGATTGATGTACTCTAGGAAGATTCCAAACTATCTTCTAGGAAGGTCATAGTCATTAATACTCCTATATAAAGGAAATGGGTGTCCTACCTCACTTTTTCAAAAACTGGGTGTTAGTTTAAATCCATCCATGATAGTTTGCTAGGAAAAAAAGTATATGAACTGTAGGGTTTCTTTTTCATTCCTTAAATTATTAATAAGGCCCAACATTTTCGTGCTTATTAGGTGTCTCTGTTTTTTCTTTTCTAAACGACATGTCCTTTGTCTGTTAAATTGGGGGTGGTTTTCCCTTGGCTTTTTGTACATTCTTGCAACTGTTTTATGAAGGCTGGCTAAGGGTTCTTTGAACCTCGTGAAAGCAAGGGGCATACCTACTCATAGGAAAGTGCCCCTTGGAGCACCTCCATCCTGTCTCATCACCCTCCTTAGGTTCCTGGTTCTCTTGTCTCTTTCCCTTACAGACTCTGCTCTCAAATGTCACTTGTGGCAGTCACACCTTCCTAGGATTTTAAACTATCTAATCATTCAATGAAATACTAATTTATGTTTCATCTCTACTCATACAATTACAGGCCATAGCTTTTGTCAAAGGTACTTGCAGAGTCTAATAGGAAATCAGAGGGGCCTTCTGGGTGTGGAGAACCTCAGACACCTCCTACCAGCTTTCTCTGTCTGCTCCTGACCCCAGTTCTGTCTGCTCCTGACTCAGTGCTGTTACCACAACAAATAGGCTAAATTCAAAGACCTGATGACTACTCAAAGCAGCCTTGGAGATAAGACAAAAGTAAGGAGGACACCAATGTGAAATAATAAGGTATGACTGAAAGAGTTATTTTTAAGAGGTCAATCATTGCAAGAAAAGCCGAAATTAATTATAAACCAAAAATCAAAAGTTATTGACAAAAGGTATTTCTATTTTGGTTATAACTTTTCTTAAATTTGAGAAACTATTTTTAAAACTACTGTTTCTCAGATATTTAGAAACAAGATATTTCTAAAACTCTCAGTTGAAAATCATTTTTAATTTGATTTTAAAAGGTGAATAAATAATACATTACCTTTGAAACTAGCAGTGAAATGATTTCTTTTACACTGTTGTCAATCAAATCATCTATTTTTGAATGGTACTGTTGCTAGATAGTAAAAGACAAAAGATGCATTAGGTGATGTGGACATAAAACTCCCGTCTTAAATCATAAATGCTTTAAAGCTACTAGTTATGACATATCAGATTTACTTAAAACGGTCATTTTGAACATTAGAAAAGCAAAACCTTGAAAATGATCCACCCAATCAACACTTCTTACACTGAGGTTTGAAAATTTTCCCATGTGCACTGTTGAGTTAAGCAGCTAATGGGGTTATTATATAAATGAATTGAGTTCTTATTCTTATTCAGGCGGAGGAATGTGAAGGATACTTTTTGTCTTCTCCTCTATAATTAAGGTGGCCGTGTATTTTTCTAAAGGGTTGGTTTAGCTGGAGAAGGAAAAAGACTAGAAAAAGATTTAATTAATACAGCATTTCATGTCTGACAACTCTCATTCATAAGTTATTTTAAATGTGCTCTAGAAATAAAATGAGCTCCCAATTGTTCACTCTAAAAGGACGTTTTTGTCAGCATGGGGAGCAGCAGTTTATACAATTCTTACAATATGCCCAGGCAAGGGCAAAATTAAAATTTCATCAACAAAGGTGAATAGATGGTAACAAATTAATAGGCCATAAAGGGTATAATGAAACGGCACTCACACCCCATAGTTTTATTACTGCTTCCTCATGAAAAAGACGCCTTTAAGTAAATACAAAAAAGATGTATTTAAAATAAACCTGAAAGACTCCTTTTTTGCTTTCTTTAGAGAATACTAGAGAGTTCCATTCTTAAATTAGCAGGAGCTTCGGCTTCTATGGTGTATGAAGGCACATTCATTTAAACAGTAATTCTTCTTTTAGAAGCATTTATCTGACAGCCGATTGTCCCCAACAGCCACTTCACAGAAAATGTGACTTGTAAAGACTAACCCTATCTTGATGGTTCAAGGCTTCTTGGAACAACTAACATAATGCATAGAGTAAAAGTACTCAGGTCAGTATAAACATTAGACCAACTTAACAGCTGCTGGTTGAATGGTTTCCTAAGATGTAAGTTTTTGAAAGCTATTTTTTCTCCTGAAAACATGTCTCAAAGTTTCCACACAGAACAAAACACCAACTTAGGTCTGCTTTGGAATGCACAGGGAAGATGTCCCCTCCCTAGGCTCTGACAGTTACAAGTGCTCATCTACCTGCCTAAATAATAAAAGAAGCATAATTTTGGAGCACGTGAATTATTTTCTTCTGCATGTGTTTGTGTATGTGTTGACACGTGGTCTACAATTAACCACACATAACATGGAACTGTCTAGGCATGTGTTTCACCCAGTGAAGTGAAATACTAAGTGACTGTCTTATTTACAGCCCTACTGATTCCCAAACTTGTGCCTTCCAGAAACACAGGGTGGGTTTCTATTGTGGGAGAGCTGATATTTGTTTTTAGAACAGTGTGAAGAGAAAGAAACGGGAAGAAAGTAAAGACAAACAAGGGAGAAGAGAAAGAGCCNCCCCCCCCCCCCCCGCCCCGCTGCAGCCCCACCTCCCTTCCCCAGACTCAGGTTCAAGAAAAGGCCCCCAGCTCCAGCTGATGCTGCACAGCTGACTGGCAGGGAAGGAGCTTATGCAGATGTGCTCTGCCCTGGCTGTCCCTGTCTGCCTTTCTCTTTTCATATCCTTCTCTCCAAATTTGTGTCTGTGCAGTAGGAGGCCTGTGTGCAGTCTGAGGCTCCTCTTTGGGGTGGAAGAAGAAAAGGATACAGGAGATGGGCTGCGAGCTTCTCCCTTCCCTCTTACATGGAGAGTGCGACAGAACACACCAGAGTTGAGGCATCCAGCCAGCCAAATGGGGCCATATTCTTCAATACGTGCCTTATCCTCAAGGTTTATCTGTTTGCCATAAATTGCATTTTTACCTCGCAAGTAATCATATGTCATCAAAAGGTTTGTTTATGTAAAACAGTAAAGCTTCTACATGTTAAACTTCTGGGTTAGATTGATTTTGGCTATTCTCAAAATCAAGAGATGAGCCACTAGAGGTCCTTTATACCCTTTTCATTGAAAGGCAGGGAGAGCCCTGGACGCTAGGAGCCATCAAATTCTCCTCTATTATACACCTTTAGACTGCTATTTTCTTGACCTAGCCAAAAGAAGTGAGAGAGGGAAGGAAAGAGGGAAAGGGGAAGGAAGAGAGGAGGAGGGGGAGAAGGAAGTGAAGTATACATCTGAAATGTATGACCCAAGGGGCAAGCCTAAATAGTATGTCTGTTAGGTTTTTATAATGACAGTTTGCTATTGTAAACTTCTCTGATTAGTGCTGATTTACACTGATAGTAAAGTTGCAGGGAACTTCCAGAATCTGCTCTAGCTACACAATTGGTAAAGGTGGTCTGGGAGCATTGTGAGTGGGAGTGGACGGGTGGCCTCAGAATTCATATTTTACATATATATTCTGCAAAGAGAATAACCCATATATGCCACATATAGCTAATAGGAAATTAGATAAAAAGAGTTATTCATCAGGGAGTCCAGATAGTTTTCAAAGATAAACAGAAACACACAAAAAGAGATCACAAACTGATAAGAAAGGAATTTATCTTCACAGGCATTTATGTTACCTAAGCGAAAACTGACAGATTTTTCAATTAGATTAACAGACCGCATTTTTGACAGATGTCTGCAAAGGTTTTGTCCACAAAAGTAAAAACCTCTAACTTCCTATCAGATTATTTCAAGTTGGATCAATAACCCTACATATTAGGGCTTTGATAGATTACAGCCCATTTTTTGTGACTAATTCTCCCCACATCTGCCCTCACATATAAACAGTTTATGCTTTGCTTCTCCAGCAGATGACTCTGAACTTAGATTAAGATAAACCATTCAGGAATTCCTATTCATGGTGCCCAGGGAATGTGAGATCAGGCATGGGTCTGAAATCCTGGCCTCCTTACACTTAGCTAAATATCATCATTTCACTTGTTATTATGTAAGCACGCAAGAAATGAAGACTAATCAAATGCAGGTCCAATCTAGTATTTTCTTAAAGATTTTGGTCCTTCTCTTGGGATGAATTTTAAAGGTACTGTACTCTTAGTTCTGGAGATGGAAACATTTTTCTGTAATTAGGAACAGATCCCACACAGGTATGGACCTCCCCAAATGTCCCAATACTGTGCTTCCCTCCTCAGTGGATGGGCCATGGGATGCCATGGTTCAGAGGGCAGATGATTGCCTAAGACCCATGCAGTCATCTGCTTTTCTGCAGCGATGGGTAACAAGGGTTTCTAAACACTGGTGGTTTTGTGATCTCAACATCTGTCCCCACAGGACTGGTCTGAGATTGCTGACTCATTACACACAGCAGTCACATGAGCAGATCATTCACTCACTAATCACTCCATTAAATACCCTTCTTCTGGGCTGCCGAGCGTGTTTGCATCAGCAGGTGCTACATAAGAAAACAGAATCATAACTTAGGAGCACAGAAGGGGCTGCCTCGTGGGTAAGAGTCCCAGCAATGACAACATAACAATTTTACTGGAGATTTTGGAGAGGTAATTCCTTTGTGATTTAGAAAGATATCTCTGCCAGGTTTACTTAAGCAGTACATGTTTTTATAAGGTCCCAAATTGTGTAATAATGTAGCTTTTTCAACAACTCTATTTGTTGCATACTACAGAATGGGGTCCCACTGGCTCACCACTGGTAAATATAATGTATTTACCAATTTGCAACAATTCCGAAACTTAGCTTGAGCACATACTGAGAGGGAAAGCCTGTGCAATTATGTGGTTACATTCACTGAAGATAAAAAGCAAAGTATAAAATCCTTCCTGTGCACTGAAATTCTTGTTTACCACTTTTCAGGGTTGCTAATGGGTTTTACACCTGCACATTTTGAACTATATTAATTGTGTGAAAGTTGTGGGGAATTAATTGTCTCTGGTGAGAAGGTACAGGTGCAGACATAATGAACAGTAGCAGATTACCCTGCAAAGCCATCTACCTATTAATGTAAAGAATCATTTGACAATGCAACAGTGTTTTGTCATCTCCGCGTGTGCCTGCTTTTCTTTTTAAGGACTGGAGTGGGTTGCATCTTACAGGGGAGGATTTTTAAAGCTGTAACAACAAATCAGTCCGTTCATGCAACAAGTATTTATGAAGGGCCTCCTGTGCTTCAGATATTGCAGTGTGTGTTAAAATAAGAATGAATGGATAAGGCCGGTATTAATGGCAAGATGTAAAATGATTCCATAAACCTGATGAGACAATCAAAAGGTTTCCATGTGGGTACTGAAAAAACATGAGGAGGTAGAGATGAGCCCCTGGTATCCAAGACAGCTGCCTCCTCATTCAGATAATGAGATAATAAATCATGTTGTAAGTAATCAGACAATGATAATTACTGAACATTCTATAACACTTATGTATCAGTTACTGCAAGGTTGTATGCTATGGTATTAGAAATACATCTTTTCCCCCTGAATTGCTCAAAGAGTGAAATATATGTGTACAGGCATATAAATTATGGCCAAACAGCTAATGTCTATATCTGGGTTAAGTAACAATGAAATTCACAAAGAGTGAGCCTTCTCATCCTCCTTCACAGGTACCTGAGCCCTTCTGCTTGGAGGAGTAATGTCAGCCCCGTAAAGAGTCACCCTGAGTTTGACTCCCAGGTGTCAACTGTAAGACTTGTAAGATTTAACATATCCATGACTTATCAAGAAATACATATATATATGAACTAGTGAATCCTGTATGCATAAATATTTTCAAAACATGTTCCTCTGAAGCTGGGGTTGATAACGGGTAGGCAGCCTAGTGCTGGGGAGGGGAAAGGCTGACACAGGCCGGCCTCCCCCCTGCCTCTGATGAAGTGCACATCCCAAGGCCAGAGGGGGGGATAGAACGTATCACTAGTGGGCATGTGCCTCACTGAAATCCACCATCAGGCTCTTCTGCATGAAGTGGCCTTGAGAGTGGCCTCTCCTTCCTTACAGCTGCAGGTTACCCTGACACATGCTCTGTGTCACCTAAAGCCCCAAGCCCTAAATTCCTCTAGTACTAGTGAAAGCATAGGTACATGCATCTTGTCGTATCACTAGTGGGCATGTGCCTCACTGAAATCCACCATCAGGCTCTTCTGCATGAAGTGGCCTTGAGAGTGGCCTCTCCTTCCTTACAGCTGCAGGTTACCCTGACACATGCTCTGTGTCACCTAAAGCCCCAAGCCCTAAATTCCTCTAGTACTAGTGAAAGCATAGGTACATGCATCTTGAAAAATGTTAATATTCACTCTGCCTCTGAATTTCTTCAGAATTTAGTTCAAGAGAGGGTGAATTCATTTGTTTTACAATAATTTTATCTTTAAAAATCTAAGAGTAGTTTGTACGTATGTTCTGCACCCTAACACAGAAGAAACATTCCCCTGGGTATTATTTAAGGTATAAGTATTTACATGTATTTTAATATGTCTTTGGGTATTGCTATGTTATGGTAAGCTGTTAGTATTATATACGTACATAGTAACCAAAAACCTGAAAATGGAATTCATCCTTTAATTCTACTTTGAAAAGATGAAAACAAAAGTATGCATTCATAAAAATAGTAATTCAAATGAAAATGTGCTTTTACAAAAAAAAAAAAAGATGAGACTTACCCATTGACTACCAAACTGGATCATGCCATGGGGGAAAAAAAGACGGTGAAGGAGAACATAAAGGAAGAGTAAAGAAATGATAAGAAAAGTAATTACAATGGGAAAAGGGCAACAAAATGTCAAATTAAACAGGTAATCTAAGAAAAATGGATGTATGTTCACTCAATCATCGCTCTCAACAAAAATAAGTCGTAGGGTAAAATAAACTGCATTTGTGAATATAGAACCAAACAAAATACAAATCAAATGGAAACAATGGGACATTTATTAAAAATAGAAAACAACATGAAGCCTGATTTTTAAGTATGCTTCTACTTGGTTTTTAAAAATGGGAAAACTTTGTATATACATAAATTATTTCATATGCTAATTTCTATGGCTTGATTTTTAGATGCAAACTCTGAATACTCTATATTTGTATAAACGAAGCAGGTAGCTTTCTAGCTTTCTCATTTGCTTGTGAAAAGCAAGGTTTATGTAAATACACAACACCTAGGTTGTTAAAAGGTTTATCTGAAATTCAATGGCCACTTCTAAAATTTTAGGCAGTCCTCCATATAAAAAAGAAAAAACTGTTATGAATAGAGGTTAAAGGGCAGTCCATTATTACAGTGAAGACTATAAACACTGGGATTGGAGAATTTGAGCTTTTAAAACCTAATCAAATTAGAGACTTCTGGTAAGAGCACCCTCCTCTGTCAGACACCCTGTGCTGCATGTCCACATGTGACACTCAACCCACTTACCTCCTGTCCTCCATCCAGGGCACAGAGTTTGGTGCTTTGCTTTTTGGCATCAACCAAGACATTAAACATTGTACACATGGAAGCTGGAATGCGTAAGTCAGTCGTTTTGCTTGCCTTCTGCAGCTTGAGTTCAAATGCAGTTCTTGTTCTATTCATTAAAACATGAATTCAGAGTAAGAAATTCTGACATACCCTACGTCCCACCTGTTTTGTATAAGTGAAATCAACACTACAAGAGGCTAATTTAAAACATGCAAATAAGGAATGTGGCATTGCTTGGGAGCTAAGGGTGGAATGCTCTTGAGGTATCTTAAATGAAAGATCAGACTGGGATATTTTATATTACACATAGCTTTTGCAGTAACAGACAATATCTCTACTCAAATGAAGCTCTTTGTTACATGTAGGCACCTTTAGTGGAAAAACCTTATGGTTTCTCTTAACTGCCTGAATTAACATCTATGTAAAAAATCACTTGCTTCATTGCATTAAGGCAGAACAATCCATCTGTGTGAGGGTTTACCAAATCGGAAAAAGTACAGGTCTGGAAGACTGTAAAATGTCATCATTAATGTACAACACAGAATCTGTAAATCTTTTATGTCACGTCACTTAGATTCTCTTTCAAGTACCCCAAGTGGCAATTAGGTTTTTGAAAGAAACTGCAAAACAGGCAATTTGGAACTGGTTTGGCCAAAGTACCCAAAGACTATTCACAAATCTGGGACACCTGAATCACAGATGATGAACACGATTTTTTGTGAACATTAAATAAGCTAATTCATGGCCTTGCCCTAGGAGGCCACTAAATGTTATTCTAAAGACAGGATTTTTCTTGCTTTCAATAATTTAGGATTATTCAGTTGCTTCAATCAGTGTTTCTTCAATATGCTGCCCACATTGTTCTTGTGTATATCAGGAACAAGGCCAATGGGAAAAACAATGCTCAGCTTATTAAGACTTTGTAAGAATTATTTAAAAAATGAAAGCACATTGGGAAGACTCCAAAGCCTCATAACTATTTCTTGTTAAATTATGAAGAATGTACATGGATACACGGAATTCATTTGATGTGGACTGAGAATATAAGAAGACAGAATTGCCAGCACTGATCAGAATCTGAGTTTGCTTATGCCATTTCACGGCGCAGGGATACAGGGCACAAGGCATAAAGTACTTAGCAGACCATTTCCATATGTCTCAGGAAATACTGCCTTGGGAATTTACAGCACAGTATTCCCAGAGAGATAACAATAAGTACAACAGAAATGATTAATATGCTATGGTACTACTGAGGAGGGTAATGGTTAGAAGACCTGAAAAAAATGATCAATTACATGGGTCCCCAGTATTTAGATCAGGGAGCCCAATGTCCATTACATTTTGGAATAGTACATACTGAAACTTCCCTTGTGACAATTATCTAACAGGGACTTGGTGAAAAGTGGTATTTTGGGTGCTGGCAAATTCAGCAGCAACTTGAAAATACATGTCTACCTTTTGACACAGGCCTCTATCATATCACTGGCCATTAGTTTAAGTCTTTGCTCTAAGTGGTGGGCAAATTCTTGTTCTGGCCAGTGTAGATCAAAGACAAACATTTGCAGGGCATCAAGTTTCCAGAAAAGGTCTTCTGATGTTGCTGAGCCATTGCTAGAAGAAAAAGGAGAAAGAGGAATATCACGACTTCCATTGTTAGCTCGGTGGATCACCACTACACTGGTTTTTACTTTTTATATCAATTGCCATCCATGGAAAAAATACCATGTAAAGTCTCTAATGATCAATATTTTCTTCGTAAACCTCCTAATTCTTCCTTTTCAGTTCTTACTAAAGGCAAGGAGAACAAAATAGAAATGATTACAGTAGTAAGGTTTCAAAAAAGAGGGTAAGAATGGATAAGGATACTTTAGTAAGGAAAAGAAATCAAATTGTATACATAGAACAAATGTTTTAAGTATTCTTTATCAATCTCTAGGCTAAAGACAAAATGCATAAGAATCTCCTGCAGAAATTGAGAAAAGTATGTTTTATGTAAGAAAATCCACATGGCAGGAACAGCTTTATTCTTCTTATGCGTATGTGCCTCTGTCATGACGGCTTCTGTCTACAGGTGTTTAGCATACAGGAGCCTTAAATTTCTCAATTACAGGTGAAGGTGAAACAGGTTTTGGAAATGAAATGAGCTGAGTAGAGAAGCAAATCTTACATTTATATTGAAATGCTCTGTGCCTTTTCTAGCTCATAATGAAAAAGTAAGAGGTATGGTCTAACAGAGAAATGACATTCAGGGTGTTCTGAAATTGGACTCAAATTCTGTATTTCAGGTCTTAACATCTAATGAACTATGGAGCCTATATTTCCTATATGGAGCTATGCATTCATTACTATGGCAAAATTTGGGGACTATAATTGTTCACACCAGGTATGAAGGTATTCGTATCAAAGTACGTATCATATTTGGGCAAAGGATAATACTATTACTTTCTATTATGCAAGTATATAACCTGATAGGGAAACATAGGTTTTTGAAGTAAAATAGTCCTACATTAAAACATATTGAAACCTTAATTATAAAACAAAGGGAAAAAAGCTGCTGTATTATTAATTTTTTTCTCAGCTTTCCAACAACTGTGTAATAGATACTAAGCTAAAATTTGTATTTTTAGTGTGCCGAAGAAAACTGAAATAAAATAAGCTAATGTAACACAAGGGCATGGTGGAAAACTTTTATAAAAACTTTAAGTGTCTTTTAAAGGTCTTTCAAATGATCACAGTGTTAAGCTAAATATATCTTAATTAGGTAGCTTTAAAAAAATCACGTCCTGTTCTGGCTAGTTAAAAGCTTATTTCTGCCCTTCTACCTCTGGCTGGGCATCTCAGTTCTATCACCAGCCTACTTGGCTTGCCTCCTCTCCTTCTGCCAGTAATTCCTCCCTGTCAAGTCCAGATGTCCTCAGACTTAAGTTCTCGAGGGACTAATCATAGCACAGCCCTGAACGCCACCCACATTACTTCACTCACGCAGTGTCTCCTAACCTTAGTGTTCAGTGCCTCCAAAGTACCATTAACAAAAGAACCAGAAAACACCATGGTGACATTGCTGTGAAAAATGAAAAACACTCTATTTACCTCTCCTTATTGCCATATAGATAATAAAAATAAAAGTAACAAATGGCCAAGCCAAAACCTCCTGTGTATCCACAGTGTGTAACTTGGCAGATTGGGGGTCTATGTTTTAAAAGTCACTGCATACAACTGGCAAAGAGCAAATCTACTTCTTATAATTTTTTACTTTGGAGAAATATGGTATGTATTCTTTAACCGCATAACAAAACAACAATAAAAAGCCATCATCAAAACAAAATCCCTAACAGTAAGAATTCTATTAAAGATGGACTTCTAATAATATGTGACAATTAACTCTTATAGAGAATATGGATATATGTTTCTTCTGTTCTTGACATTATTCAGAGTTTGAACAGTAAGTGTATTTAATTGGAAATGTAATTAAGATAACAAGTGTTTGTTATAATTAAATAGATAGATGAAAAATATAAATAGGTTTTCTCTTGAGCTGGTATATATAACCTGCAATTTATTCAGAAGTTCTTCATTTTAAAATTATTTCTAATCAGTGACCTATTCTTGTAAGTATTATTAACAGATTAAAGAATTCAAACATGAATAATGGACTCAGATAATTTCCTAAAAATGTCAGCAGGAGACTTATATTACTGGCATTTACTTTTAGAGCTTAAAAAGTCCAGAATGAAAATTTTATATAGAGGGAGAGATGTGGAGGAGCACCTATACCTCCTTCTCTTTACTTGTTTTTAAAAAATTGAAGTATCATTGATATATAATCTTTTGGTTTCAGATATACAACACAGTGGCTCAACAGTTACCCTTATTATGAAATCCTCACCCCTTCACATAGTGTTGTTACTATCTATCAACATAGAAAGATGTTACAGAATCAGTGACTATATATGTATCTATGATGTACTACCATCTCCGTGGCCGACTTATATTGTGATTGTGAATTATTGTGCCCCTTTATCTCCCTCACCTTTCTCACCCACCAACTCCAACCCTTCCTCCTCGGTAACCACTAGTCACTTCTCAGTGTCTATGAGTCTACTGCTGCTTTTTTTTCCTTCTGTTTTAGGAGCACCTACCTCTTAAAGTGATTAATACATTAACAGGTAGAGCTGTATCTTCAAATTCAAGGTTGCTGTGATATTATTTGTCTTTACTTAATCAGTAGTTGTAGTTGTATTTTTAATTCCTTACGTAAGTGCAATGGAATTTCTTTTGCTTTGCAACAAAATTTAAAAATGCTTAAAAAATTTTTTTTCTGAATTTATAACAGAAGTTCAAAAAACTAACTGCAATATTAGAACATTGTAGGTCATTCTGAGCACCCTGACAAAGAGCCTAATGTTGATAACCCTGGCAGTGGTGACTACTTGTGAAACATTTTTTATTTTGCCCAGAATGATGAAAGTACATGGCACTTCATTTACCAGGCCACAGTTTGTCGTGATTCCTGTCCTGAGATGAGACATGGGTCATTTTAAATAGGGGCTCTCAATAATGAGATTCAGGGTTGACACATATCTCAAAGCTAATAAAATACTAGTGATAAAAATAAAACCCCTAAATTTCACAAAGTAATGCCCACAGTAGTGTTCCTGGTTAAAATCAAGGGTGTTAAACAGATGAGGGATGAGGAAGAAGAGGAGTTAAATTATAAAACAGTATAAAGAAGTACAAAATAATAATAAACTTAAAAAGGTTCATTACATCTCCTAGGTAATTCTGAGCACACACAGACAACACTCCACACACTATCATGGCCCAAAGCATTTGCCTAAAAGCAAAAGATTTACATGTAACTTAATGTTCTAACAGTTATCATGAGTACAGTGATGATGTCTAACTTGGAGAAATACTGCCAAACTATTTTGCAAGTGATTGTTCTCTTTCGTAGTATTTTCTTCTCTCTTTTCTTGATTGTATGAATAGTTGACTGGGAGCAGACTTGAAGTTGGTGGCAGGACAGGCAGAAAGGATGCTGGACAAGTTCCTGCCAAGTGTATTCTCTGCAAGCAGAATAAACTAATGATGGGAGTGAGGGCTTCGGAGTCAGGCAAACCTGGGTTCAAATCTTGCCTCTGTCACTTACTTAACTGTGAGACCCCAGGCAGATTTTGTTTCTTAACTTCTTTATGACTTAGTTTCCTTAACTGTAAAATGAGGATAATGACATTTGTTACACAGGGTTGTTATAAGGCTTACATGAGATAAAGAATATGGCACTGTACCTGGAACATAATCCTCAATAAATGTTAGTTATTTTTCTTCTAATGATTACTTTTTCTAACTGATTGTGTATGAGATTGGGCACAGCAGGGACTGTTACTGAGTTCATTTAGCTGTCGTGAAGCTCATTCTTTTGAAAACTATACAGCTATGAATAATAATGATGAAATTGATGATAGTAACTGTAATGTAGAGTAGGCGTAGTTATCATTTATGGAAAATCTAGGATGTGTCAGGTACTTTTTCACAGTTGTTTTTTTAAAACCTTATAAAAATATCTTTGAATTAGGTGTCATAATCATTTTAGAGTTGAGGAAACTGAAGCTAAGAAAGACAGCAATTAATAAGCTAGGATCTAAATTCAAGGCTGATTGATTTTAAAGTCTGTGTCTCTTTCACTTTAATGACTCTTAGTTTTGCAACTGCATTAAGTAGCCTTATCACAAAGTGGAGTTAATAAATATGGCTTTTAATGATGTAAAGATTATTTAAAAATAACAAGGCACATCAACTGATATATGAAAGGACCAAAGGATAACTTGCTGGTGCTGGTAAATAAAGGATAACTCCTCTGCAACCTGCGGTATGATTTCTTTAAAGGTGAGACTAAGATAAAAATAGAAAAAGATTATATTCTTGAAATTATCTTACAATGGTTTTCTACATGTACGAGGTAAATCACGTGGGCAGTAACAAAACTGAAACCAACTAAGGATCCTAGACATACTGTTCGCCACACTGATTGTCTAACTATGGAAAGCTCTGGTTTTATCACTTAGGCTTGTGTACAACCTGGGTCACAAAATGACCCCTGCCCCACAGATTGCAAATGAAGTACATCAAACCAGCGAGTGTATTTTTTTTAAAAAAATGGTATCATTTATCATCAATATGCTAAAGCTTAGCTTAACAGCTTAGGAACTCAAATGAAACCAAACCATAGTATTCCTCACCCACCGATGACAAATGCCATGCAACCTAGACACATCTGCACGGAACAGCCCAGGCCATGCACGAGCTAACACACCACCAGGAAATAAGTGAGGAATACACACGTGGACTCATATAAAGAAGCCATCCACGAAGGAGTAGAAAAGCTAGGAATCTGTGGAAGATTAAGAGGCAGACTTGGAACTTTTGGAAGAGCTACATTGGGAAGACTGTTGGCGATATTCCTGTAAAGAAACAAACAACGTGGGAAGGGACCCCCATAAGCAACAACTACAGATGGCCACGGGTAAAGTCGTAAGGTCAGGACTGAAGAGGCAGAGGCTCTACGGTGCACTAAGGAAGATACCTACTTGACCGGCTGCCATGTCTCTTGCTCAAAACCTCTGTGAATGGACTGGGCGATGGAGGACTCCATGAGATCAACGTAGCGGACAACCAAGGGTACAAAGATTTCTTGCAAGTGTTTGTGAAATTTTCCATTACATAAAAGTGCTGAAATAGTCAAGCAGAAACAGTGTTTGTCAGAGGGACAATGAGGCATTGCAAAATACGGGCGAGAAAAACTTGCCCTCAGACACAGAGCTGATAAAATACAGATGCTAAGGGATCTTGCTCCTCATACTGAGTATCATAAAACGAAAACTGATCGAGAAGGATTATTAATCTTCTAAATATGGCCATCAAAAACAAAAATAGATTCTCTCTATAAAATGTTCCTGGCAGGTGGCATGTTTTTACTTCCTAAGAGTTTTAACCCATGAGGTATAACACTAGATCCGTTGCTGGAGATTCAGGCTTGCTGCTGGATCCCCAGACACACATAAATACAGCAGTTAAACAGAGTTACAGTCCCAGTGTTGCGCTGTGTGTCACAGAAGAGCTAATCCTATTTAATTCTAAGAGCTAAGCCTGATTACTTCTCAGAGATACACTTGTTTAATTCACCAGCAGGGTGACTGTGGCCTGTTCTGATTTATGAACTTTTTAGTTTTTGTGAATTTTGTTTTTCCTCATCCCATTTTCCACATGTCTTTAAAAACAGCCAGCATATCCCATGCCTCTGTCAGTTGCCCATTTGTCTTTAACGAGGTGTAGTATGGCACGTCCCACCTAAAGCAGCTGTAGAAGTCTTGGGATTTGTGCTGTTGGGACAGGACTGGGGAAGGTGCACTTACCTCCACTGTATGCACAGGACAGAATTTCATTAGACCTTAAGGCAGTGCTGTATCCTTAATGTTTGTGTGTCTCCGACTCCCCCACCAAATTCCTATGTTAAAACCCTAACTCCCAATGGCATGAAATTAGGATATGGGGCCTTTGGGGGTGACTAGGTCATGGGGGCAGAGCCCTCAGGGATGGGATTAGTGCTCTTACGAGACCCCAGAAAGACTCCTTTGGCACTTTCCCTGTGTGAGGACATGGTGAGAAGACAGCTGTCTATGAAGCAGGCTCTCACCAGACACGTTGATCTTGGACTTCTCAGCCTTCAATACCATGAGGAATAAATGTCTGTTGTTTATAAGTCACTCAGTCTAGGGTGTCCTGTTACAGCAGCATGGATGCAGTAAAACGACCAGTACATGCCTAGGTTGCACTATGAACAAGTAAAGGATCTGTAGGAAAATACTAAGTACCACTAAGTAATAGTCAATAAAGAATTTGTAACTTTTTGGAGAATGGTGCATATTTCTCAAGTGAACACAGTCTAAACCTGGTTGTGATTTTTTTTTTTTAGATGACACTCAAAGTGAAAAAATTTAAAAATAGACACCATGGTGGACAAAGTTTCAGGAGTGATGGTATTTTAACTGAGCCTAAATAACAAGGGAGGCATCCACTGATTTGGAAGGAAGATTTCCAGGTAGAGGGAACAGCCAGGACAGAAGTTCTAGGGAAGGAATAAGCTATGGGCTTCCAGGAGGAAGCCAGTGCAGCAGGAGTGGAGGGAGAGAGGGCCAAGACTGGTTCCAGGTGACGTCCAGTTGGTAGGACATGGTGAGAAGTGTGAGCTCTATGGGGGTTCAATGGGAAGCATTCTTGTACATTTTTGATCAAGTACAGGAGTGAAATGATATAATCTCTGGCTGCTGTGTAGAACTTGGAGTAGGTGGCCCAAGGACAGAAGCACACAAGGTGTTAGCGTTCACTTCTTTCCTACCACAGACCACGTACTCGGAGTGGCAGAGGTGGAAGGTGGAGAAGAGTCTCTCAGTAATCCCACTCACTTTTCTGGATTTGAATAGCTGTGCAATTAACTCTAATTACTAACAATTCTAATAGTATTGTGTAATAAAATGCTTGGCAAAATACGCCAATTTCCCACATCATTTTCTTCAGGGAAAAAATACCCCAAAACCCAAAATAATATTTTTTGAAACTTAGGCAAAGCATGGGATACTTACCAAGAAGGCATGAGTATGAAAATTCCCACTATTGATTATTTTAATTAAGTGATTCTGAAATTTGTCAGAGTTTGGAAAATACAGACCTGGAATTGGACTAGGAAGTAATCCTAAATACAGAAGGAAGGAAACACAACAGGTTTTCTTCTATCTTAGTTGATATGGTTTAGAATTTTTTTTGTGGTTAAATAATCTTTTCTGGCTTATCTATAAGCTATAAGATTTCCTATTAAAGTGGGAATGATAATCATATTTAAAGATAAATGTTTTATTTAGGAGACTAATGTTATCTTAATGATGTTTTCATTAGCACACTGAAAGGAGTTTTATTTATTCGTGGAGATTCAATCACAGAGCTGGAAGGTACTAGAGATCATGTAATTCAGTTCCTTTTACCAAATGTCACCTAAATAAGGCTTCTGAACATTAAGGATGAAATACTCTCCCTTGGAACATCTAAATCATTCTGGCAAGCAAATTAAAAAATATCCCCACATCTGAATTTATTGGATCTCCGCTGAAGAAGTCTCCTTCCCTCTTCCTCCTCTGACAGCATTTCTGGAGTGTCAAGCCGGGTGCTAAACCTTCTATATGCATTCTCTCATTTAATCATCACAAAACTCTATGAGGGAAGCACTATTATTTTTTTCCATCATATCAATTAGGAAAACTCAGTACATAAGGAGAATTTAGACATTTGGCTAAGTCATTTAGTCATTAGACAGCAGGCAAGGATTTCATACCAGAGCTCCCTCTTAACCTCCATAGACTATAAGACCATCATCCTCAGTTTACATGACCATAAACCATTATGCATCTATTCATCCACACGTACAACCGTCCAATCTAACAACAGTATCTTTTATGACCTAGATATGTACTTGATTACTTTAGGCTAAAAAAAAGTCTAGCAAATGACAAACACATTGCACCATATCTTTGGTGAACTATATGTTTTTAGGATTAGTTTTGTAAAACTCAGTTACAATATGAAAAAGGCAAGAGGCTGGGCAAAACTATTATATTCAATGAATTGAAAAATGAATTAACACTGAAAATATTCAATATGGTTATAAGACACATTGAAAGATGCACAATTTTATGGTGTTATAGAGCTAGACTACATAAGCCTATGCCTTAATTTATAAGGCCTACAATAAAAAAGATAAAGAACCATAGGCTCTATGTCTTGATAAGTGCTGTTATGCATTGTCAGTACTTTTAACTATTCTAAGACCAAAACACCTGCTTATGTAGCAAAGGGCTACATCTATAAAGGAGCTAACCTCATCATGCAAATGCTACTTTACCATACATTTAGAGATTAGGTGTGCTGGCTATTGAGTCATACTTGGTTTGTTAAAATAAAGTACATAAGGAGAACCACACTCTAGGTTTATTATTAAATGTTATAATGATTCAGAGGTGAAGCAACAGTTGGCTCAAATGTAATTCTAGCAAGAACTCTCATTTTTGATAGAGGTGATAAACAGTGGATTCATGGTGTTAAGTAAACCTGCTTCTCTTCTATTTTCACTATGAATGTGAAAATAGACATTGTCCACCTGGGCCCTGTACCAGCAACTGGGAAGTTGTACCACAGACCTTTCTTTCACTTCCTACATCCACTCAGTAATTACAACCTGTGTACTTTGTATCCTTAATATCTTTCTCACATGTCCCCTTCCTTTCTTCCTCATCAGCCTCCTCATCTCCTGCCTCAACTAATGTAATTAGTTCTACACTGGTTTTTGGGATCCTAGTTTTCTCTGTGCCAATCCATCTTCTTAAAATCTCCAGCAAAGAGGCTTGCTAAAACATTAAACTAGTAATATTCTTCCTAAAAACTATTCTCATTTAACGGATCACCACAACAAATTCCAAAAGCCAGCATGGATGAAAGCCATCCATGGTCTATTTTGGCTCTCAAACTGACCTCTCTGGCTCATTTTTGTTGCCTGAACAGTCCTATTTCCTGATTCCAGCCTTAATAATTTTCAGTGTTCAGTTCAAACCTTTCTGAAAGTGCTTTTTTAAGTATCCCTCCAAACCTTTCCCAACGTGCGTCTCTCTGCTGTCCTCTTGCGCAGGTGGTGGGCTCCCCTGTTTACTCTCTGCCTGTACAGGCTTCTCCTGTGGCCATGTTATACTTCTGCACCTGTCAACACATCTGTTCCTCCCTATCAGGGTGCAAGGTCCTTACAGGACTCTTACGGGTAGGGACAATGTCTGTATTCTTAGTCTCCAGTGAAGTCCCTCCCTGGCTCAGAGCAAGTGTCCAAATGTTTGTTGAATGAATGGCTACTTGATATAATATTACTACATTATTATTCAAGAGACCATGTAAGAAGCTACTGAGGCCCGCGTATCTCTTATTTTATGTAAAATACCGTGAATCCTATTTTTTGATGCAGATGTTCAAGACTGCAAAACATTCTATTGGATATGAATGCTGTTTTATGCCTTTATTTTAATGAATGTAGCAAAGGGAGGATGTTCTCTGTTCAGTCATGAATCTTGACACAAACTATTATATTCCAAAGGATTAGTAGAAAATGGAGGTGCCCTATATCTCTCCAGACCTGGCACACATGTTGAATTCTGGCCAAAAGTCTGCTCATATTTTGGCACAATGTTTCTTTTTATTTTAAAAAATCGAATTATAAACCCATATCCCAAAGTTTTAGAAAACTAGCAACTGGTGGTATTATTTCTTTGGTCTAGATTCAGGAAAAGGAAGGAAGGAAGGAGACATAGAAAGAGAGAGAGGGAGAAGGAAAGAGGAAAAGGAGAAATAAGAAAAAATGAAGAAAAAGCACAGAGGGGGGAAGAAAAGAAAAAAAATTAGTTTCAAAAGGCAAAGACTACAGAAGTGCATACGATGCTACACTGTGTATGCAAATGTATGCTCCTTTTCTCAGCTGTCCATATGCCAGTTTGCATTCCACTCTTAACAAACACTGTCAGAAGCCCTCTTAATATGTAGCCCCAGGCATCAGAGTGAGTGCTTCTATCTTCTCCATATGGTTTAATAAGGATAGGTTATGATTTGGGGCAGCCACCTGTCCAAATCAAGCCTTTACAAGCTTC